GTGTGTTGCGGCTGGGCCCCCCCCCCCCCCCCCCCCCCAAGTCAGCGGCGCTGGTGCAGACAGAGGGGGGAGCAGGGCAGTATGGTGTGCTGTGCCCGATGCCCCTGTGCTTCTGGGACTCTCATTTTAGCTCTCACCAGCCAGGCAGGATCAGCCTTTGAAATCCAGGACTGTCCCAGCTAAACTGGGATGTATGATCACCGTACCTGAGCAAAACCTTTCCCCAGCCAGCAATGCCCTGGTGTTACATACTGTATTAGAGCCCTCTGTGCTTAGATCATTAGACCGTAGGGGCTTGATTAGACCATGTATTCCTTCACTTTGATTTATGTTCATGCCTCTACTGTAGAAGTAACAGATATTTACAGCTAAAGATTAAAGTTTTGTGTTATTTTTCTTTTGTGGTCATTGACAGACCAGCCAGTGCATTTAGGGGCAAAAACACAGCAAGCAGGATAACCTTAGGAAGCTTCTAGTTAGCTTTTTTGGGGGTGATGGGAAGAGGTAAGGAAAGTAATTCTTTATTCTTGTGGCTTCTAGGCCTTTTTCACAAGGTTTGAGATTCATCCCTTATCCCACTCCTTTAGCAGGCATTAGAACATGGCAGAAAAGTGCAGGTTAATTACCACTGCCTTCATGGGGATGGGTTTTACTCCACCCTTGTTATACTCCACCCTGACTGTAAAGGAAGTTCAGGTTCAGGCTTGGAATAAATGGATTCCAAGGATAAAAATCCTGGAACTAGCTGATTCTGAGCTCTCACACACTATTATTTTGGAATTACCTTTTCATTAATAAATCAAAACCCAAGCATGGTGATGATTGTTTTTGACTAAGTGCCTGTCTAAGGCCAGCAGATATAAAGAACAACCATCTCTTACAACATCACAAGATAATCTGGCAGTGATTTTGTAGGCAGCTATTTACATCTGTTTAATGACAGGACAAATAAAAGCCTCTCCCTTGTGCTGGCACAAAAAAGTTGTACAACCCTGGCACCCTACAGCTGACATACTGAAGAAAGGCCTGATATACTGCTGCTTTATGCCAACCTAATGCTTCCTTTTAAATAAGTCAAAATATTGTGAAAACAGTCAGGAGAAACCAGAGCCCCACAGAGTTTGACAGTCTGATTTTAACTCCCGTGTCTTTAAATTAGCTGTTGATTTGAAGGTGAGTAATGCATTCAGTCTAAACAAAAGTCTAAATGATTGCAACACATTTAAATCTGTGACAGATTACATAAATTAATTGATATTTTCCATTTAGAAAATGTGTGTATTTTTAATACACTTGCTAAACTCTTCAGAAGGTGAGGTCAGATGAGTTTAGCAAGTTTACAGAGTAATGGCTCACATGTTGTTCAGTAAGCCCAACAGCAGAGAAACTGTCACAATTGCATCTCTGCTCAGATGCATGCAGTGTGCTGTTTGTTCTTAGTAGTCATAATCCTTTAAAATATTTTCAGAACGTTCCAATAATGTCCTGGTCTTGATAAGGGGTCTTGATAAGCCCTTCCTTGGCTATGGCAAGCCCTATATGCATGGCCACAAGAAGCTAGATGCTCATGTTGTTACGTTCTGCCAACACGCCTGATGCTGATGAAGTCACAATGGTTATGGGGTCAAGCCAGCAATCATCCCTAATTGTTTTGTATCCTTGATGATTCTGTAGCTCAAGACAGCTCAGCTGGTTTGGGAACTCAACCAGGAAAAAAAAGAGAGTTGAAATACAGCTGCAACCAATCTGGTATTTGGTTTGGAAGAGAGATGTCTGAACTAATATACTGTAAGCCTGCTTAGCTCCTGAAGGGAGCTGATGTACCATTTACCCACTTAACAGTTTACAAGAAATAGGTTGTAATTTGTGGACATTTTGGAGCAGCTAAGAAGATAGCTTGCTCTGAGGGACAATGGTTCTTTCTTGTAAAATCAAGAGTAGAGTAGAAATCTTGTCTCTGTTTGAATGATCATTTTGAGTTAAAATGTTGCTAAGAACACAAGCAACATTGCAGAATTGTAATTAGTTTGTTTTTGGTCAGTGTGGAATGTGGTTTGGTCTTTGCTGCAAAATGCAAAAGGAATGGCTCAAATCAAATTCAGCTTTCAGTTCACGTAGCTCAAAACTCCCTGTAGTTTTATGCAGGAAAGGTGCAGAGTAAGCCTTTTTTAATGTTTTACAGAGTGAATTTCCATCATTGCAGGGTCTTAGTTTGGAGTCCCTATGTCATTTGGCTATAAGCAGGGAAACTGTTACCAGCCTCTACTATTTCCAATCAGAAAAGACTTATTCATTCAGTAACTAGCTGTCTCTGTACTGCTCCCCATCTCTGAGATAGTGTAGAGTCACAGGAGAGCCATG